TCGATTTCAAAATATTTCAATAGCCTCCTAAGCCAAATAATATCAGTAACAGCCGTTGCAAGAGTGATATTCAACTTTTGTAGAGGATCTTGCAACAGTTTTCTGTTTCTAGACTTGCAAAGAAATAAGGTTGCTTCCTAAAAAAACACAATATCCAGTCATAGATTTTCTTTCTATAGGGTCACCAGCCCAATTCGAATCTGAATATACATATAAACGGAATTTAAAATTTTCATTTAAATTTAAATGAAATTTTTAAATCAACAATACCTATTTAAATTTAAAATTTTTCAGAGAAATTTCACCAAAAAATCTGTTGGAATTTCCATTGGAATTTTTTTGCTGGAAATTAAAATTCTTTGAAATTTTAGGTGAAAATTTTCCACAAAATCTACCAGAAAATTCACCGAAAATCAACTATTTTTCTATAGTGGTTATTAATCATCTATTTTATCAATCATATCTATCATCAGTCTCTCTCCATCATATTTCATTCATTAGTATTTTCAATCATATTAGTATCAATCTCATATATCTCATCTTGCACATCAGTTCATTTAGTTTACATATTCTTATGCTCATCAATATGCATGTATTATATCAAAATGCATGTTAGGTCAAATGAATAGTAACTATATACATATTGTATATCTCATATTTAGATTTAGTATATTTGTTCCTGATCCTTTTCACCCAGTCTTACGCTCTCTATTTCAAATAAAATGTCATATATACCAAACTAACCAATGAAATTTTTAATATAAACCAATCAAAATATTTTGAATAACAATATCTACCACATATCAAAAGTTATATAGTGAAAATTTACTAGAACAAAATATATGACATTTTTATCAAAGTCATGAGAGAGATATATACTAAACTTAAAATCATTCAAAATAAATATAGAGTATAAGTCATTTAATACGATCAAAATAAATTTTGTAACAAAACAATGGGCAAAAAAGCCCAAAAGACCTTCTCTCTCTTCTCCCCATCTTCTCTCTCGATCTCCTCTCCTCCTCTCCTCTCTCCCCTCCCCTCTCCCCTCTCCTCTTCTTTCCCTTTATTTTCTTCGACAACAAGGAAACAAAATGAGGAGAACGAGTGGCTTGGGTTGAGAAATATTTATATTAAATATACTTTTTAGTGTCTATTATCTCGGGCCACAGACTACAATGTCATTATGTTGCATGTTGAATCTTGAGTTATTGTAAAAAAGAGTGCATGGTGCCACTGCGCTCTCAATCTCAGTGTCGCAATGCTACAATGAAAATTTTCATATTTTCAAATAAATTTCATTTTATGAAATTTTAAGTTATTACAGCAAATTCATGGCCATGACCTTCTCTTCTAGAAGCACATCATCAAAAGGAACTTCACTAATGATTCAATGATGAAAGAATGTAAATAAACTAAGTTTCCCCATAAGCACAAAATCTAATATGTGCGATTCAAACATAATGTATTAATAAATGCCATTTGTTGCCTTGGCCAAAACTTGGCTGAGAAGAACAAGCATTGCCACTATTCATTCATTGTGACTACCCATCCTCCATCATCAAGTATCTCTTGATAAAATGTAAATACTATTTTACTTACTAGCTCGTGAATCTTATTAACAAGCTAGATTCTAGTTGGAATGGTTTCAAAGCCATGTCAACTATTGTACAATCAAATATCTAGTAGACCCAGTTCAAGTATCGATTCAAGTCAATTCAATCTTGCTCAGTGATCTAAGCAAGTTGATCAGGCAGGAAAGAACAATATGAAATACTAAACTCGCCAAAGACAAGATTAATTATGCATGATTATATTGAACTTATGAGGCTCACAATGAACTCGTCAAATTTCTTATATATTCATCTAGTCAATCATCACTTGTTGGGCTCATTATGAAATTATCACGAAAGTCATATTATCAATATACCATGTCAAAGTGTACTCAGCCTAAGAATTAACCATAGTGGCCCTATTATTCAAATCAAGTTATTAAAGCTTAAAATCTGCTCGTTGGCATTCAATAAGGTCAATCAATGACTTCACCTAGAGAAAACTTCATTTAAACAATCTTCATATAATTCTTATATTTTGGCTACACATCTTATGTTTTTTTACAACAAACAATTGTGCTAAACTTTACTATGTAGTTTTTTACTTGCATCATAAATGTAGTCATTATTGCGGCATGAAATCTTGATTGGTACCTATAAATAGGGGATCATAAGAAATGCCTAGTGTACATCAAGTCTTTTGTACTTGAATCCTATAATTTCCTCATTCCAATGAAATCTCAGAGCTTCTCATTCTAGATTCTCTTCTCTCTCTGATTGTTATTTTTAAAGACTTAATTCTATTCTTGTTAGTAACGCTATAATATTGTCTATGAATAAACTTTAATTCAACATATATAAATCACATCATGATTGCTCTTTTTGTTTGACATATTTGAAATGAGAGGAACACATAAATCTTTTAAAATTAAAAGTCAAGATAGAGTTGCCTCAACTGAAATCCTAAGGAGTGATGTTATTCCTAAACTCACTTACATTAACTTAATGGATGAGAAAGATATTGTTAACTCAATCATTTCCAAATAGAAATAGTTTTGACGCTTTTTCCTTCTTCTTTTGCTTTATTTGGTTCAATTTGTTGGAGACTTTTGGATGTGCAATGGTGGTGCTTCCTATTAGAGTTAGTGATGGTCTTTCTACTTCTCCATGATTATTCTCTCCCTTTTATCCTTGGCTGGCTTTGTGGTCCTTTTCTCTACATTATCATGGTGTTTATTCCACATTGAGGTGCACTTATAATTTGTCTTGTTAATTTAATAAATTGGGATTTGTTCACTCAAATTTAAAGAAAAAAAAATTCAAAAGATGAAATTACATTGTATACATCCCAAACTATATAACAAAATCATATGGATTCATAGAATTACTTAGCTTATTAATAATGCTTAATAATGTATGTAACATTCCTTGGCTATTAATTAATGCAACTAATTATTTTTTGTATATGTTAAATATGTTATTAGTGCTAAGTAATAACTTAATAGCTTAACAGCTTAACCAATTGTTTGATTACCAAATAACTAATTTAGTTAATGACTATTCACACATATTATCCAATTAAAGATGTAAATATTATTTATAACTAACATACTAAAATCAAGAATTACTTACATAATATGCAAATTAAGGATTAATGCATTTAACTATATATGTAAGCCCCTCAATTTTCTTAATTAACTTTTTTTTTTTTTTACTTATTCACAATTTTAATTTTTGGCCATGCAATTTTAGATAAAACCATTTTTCTTTCTAACATTTAAAATTAATTTTATTCAGCAATTATCAATGAAAAGATTACTTTTTCGTCATTTTCAAGCACATGTTCATCTTAAGCACTTCCATCACTCAACTTAGACTTCGTTTGGGACAACTTTTTATTGCTTTTAAAACAACTTTTTTAATACATTTAAAAAAAGTTGTACCAAACAGACGCTTTATAAAGTAGAATGAAAGCTGTCCCAAAATTTTAGAATAAAATTTTTAATGATTATTTACAAATAAAAAATGTTCTTAAAAAACATTATTCTTTTATTAATTCATATAAAAAATATAATCATTACATTTTAGATATTTTTATGTTAATTTAAGAGGCTTAAAATTAATATTAAATCCAATCTACTTGGCGAGATGCAACTAAAATAATAAATATGATGATTTTTTAAAGTACAATTGTCCCAACTTCAAGAAGCCAAAGAGACCATACGTGTAAAAGCTCCATCCCTATCGGTTCCCACTTTCTAGGTCAGTAAAATCAAAATATCTTTCGTTTGTCGGACCTAAATATCATCACATTTTACTTCAGTATTATCAATTGCCCATTAGAGATATATCAATATATCATATCGTCATTTTATATTATACTAACAAGAAATCAGTTAACTTCATTTTTTTTTACTTTAATATTAATTAGAGGTGACAAAATAGATTAATTGGTTAAATTTAGATCCAACTCAAAATTGACCTGAAAGAATACAATCAATCAGAGTAAGACTTGTACTTGTTTAATTAACATATCAAAATGATGGACCTGAACTCACCCCGCTAGCAACCCAAATGACCCAAATCCTGTCAATAACCTATTTTGATTAAAAAAATTAAAACATATCAATTATAAATTTTAGATAGATTGATTAAAAAGAATAAGAAAAGCAAAAAAAAATTAAGAAGAAAATTGAACGAGTTATTTTTAAGTCAAAATCAAATTTAGAGATCAACTCAAATCCAACCCATTTAATAAAAAAATAAAATTATATCCTAATCCGACCTGTTTATTAAATGAATCAACTCAAATGCAAAATTTTCAAGCCAAGTCCGATGGATCAAATTATTTTAACACCCCTATAGCTAATTTAATATTTTATTCAAAATAAAATCTCATTCATCTGATAATGTTCTCAGAAAATTGCATACTGTGACTATTAAAACATGGGTGATTTACAAGCATAACATTAATATCCAATTATTCATATTTATATAGATAATAACATAATATTTAAATAAAAATTTGTCAAGATCACAAATTTAATGATATTTGTAATATTGATTACACACAAATATCTTAATATTTTTATTACTTTATCATACATTTTATAACATATATTTATTTAAATTATTTACAAATCAAAATCACATAATTTTATATCATTTAGTGTTATCAATGGGAGTGGAAAAATAGGGAAAAATTATTCTGTGCGGACACCAGACGCAACTCTACGTCCGGATGTCGCAGTATCGAGCGATACCGAGGGTCAGTATCGGTACTGATTACCAAGCAGTACCGAGCCACAGTACAGTAAAAGGATGACGTTGTACATTTTTATTGGTCTAGGGATGTCACTCGGTATCCGCACAGAATAATTTTTCAAAAATAGGTGGTACATCCAACAAAATTGAAATATTATTTATGTAAATATGACACACTAGGTGTTAAATATACAACAACATAAAAATTAGAAACCCCTTACAAAGAAATATTTAGCAATAAATCTACAGAAGTGTAGCAATGTCACAAGGTAAAAAGAAAATTAAAAAAGAAAAAGAAGAATAGATACACTTCTACCATATTGTACAGTGGAGGGAAACAAAATTCTCAGAAATAGATAGCCAGCTTTTGCTCTATCGTGTCTTGCACTCTGTTACAACGTTCTAGTAACGCGGTTAGCTTATCACTCTTAAGAACTAAAGAATCTGCAATCTGTTTGTTTGTGTCCATGTATCTGAGATCCTCGTTGTTCCCACTTGCCATTCCAGCCTCTGCACCATCACCATCATCACCATTAGCCTTTACACCATCATCGATTTCGCCAATGGCGGTAGGAGGCGTTGGCCTGGAGACCGGTGGCCATTTTTCGAAGGGATTACTGCAACTTATCTCCACCAATTCATCAAGAGATACTTTAGCAGGAAAAGAATGAGATGATGGAAGCTCTTCAAGGCAAGAACTGAATGGAAAAAGATCATCTTTGCTATCCATGATGTAAACATAAGATATCCCCGGAGCGGTTAATTTATTCAATTGCCAAGAGAAAATTCTCTGGAAAATCAAAATCCAACTTGGAATGAAACAGTAACCTGATCTGCAGCGCCGGAGACCTACAAACTTCTGTAGCATGACATTGACCTCCTGGATAGCTAGATCAGCTTTTAACAATTTGTTTGATTCATTGAGAAAGCTAATCAAGAGTTTTTCAAGGGCCAGCTTCTGCTGCTTAATCTGCAAACCAGTTAGCAGCTCATGGTTCAGCCAGGATGTGTCTGGAAAACTTGGAAGTTTGCAGGATTTGATTGCGCTAACAATAGGGTTGATTCTCGCCGGCGAACTCCAACCTACGCCGGGAAAGCAAAGACCTGCCAGTATTCCCTCATTGCTTGATTTGTCAAGAAGATTGATTTCTGGAGCTGGCCAATGAGTTGGATTCATGGATGCTGTAACCATGATTTCCTCTGCCGTTTTATCTAAGGCATTATTGAATCCAGCTATGCAATCATTTGGAGCCACATCCAATCCTTTATGATTTGCAGTGATTTCCATGAATCGTCTCAAGTATTTTAGGACCAGTTCACGAGTTCTGACAAGACAAAGCAAAGGCGCGGAAGGTGTATTACTTGCCAGCCACTGCAAACCTACTCTCAACTGATGATCATCAAAGAAGCTAGCAAAATTTTCCAAGCGGCTGCTATCAGCAAGAAAGGTTACTAAAGAAGAGCATATCTTCATCTCCTTTTCATCATGAAGGGCTAGTTTTCTTGTGATATTGGCTGATCTTTCCGCAGCATCTCCTTTGGGTAAATCGATATTCAGTATTAGAAGTGGTAAGCAGGATGCAGGTGTTATAGACACCAAGTAATTTTGAAGCCGAGCTCTCTGAATTTCCCATGGAATGGTCTCTGTCACAAGGTAAACCAAACAACTTGCACCATCAAGGACATCGTCCCCTTCAATTTGTTGTCTGTCATCCAGAACCTTTTCTCTAATGACAGACAAGCAACAGGTTTGGGGAGAACCTCCATAAGGATCACTCCATTTCTTCCATATTGATAAACCTGATGAGGATACCACCAACTCAGTATCATGTTCTTTACTAGGACCCAATAGCTTAAAGAACAACCAATCTAAAGCTAATTGATGGTTTTGGTTATCTGGATCACACGGTTGCACCAAAAGGACCAATTTCCAGCAAATCAATTTGGCAAAAGGGTTCCTTGCGACCATAATTGGTGCAACCAAATCTGAAATGTTCAACCTAGACCACGAGTTGCCAATTTTTCCATGTCTTGCTCTTGAAATAGCATCAATGTCAAGAATTTCATAGCACCTAGTTTGTGGCTTTAATCAAACGGAGTAAAATTAGCTACATGGGATTGTTAACATGTCAATAAAGGGGAAAAACACTCGAGCAGGTTTTCAAAGAATAACTCACATATTCAATTTGACCGGTAGGAGGTCCTATTGATAGTGAACTCAGTGCTGCGCTAGTAAGAAACTCTTTCTGCTCTCTATTCTCTCTCCTCATAGCTGCCTGCTTCTTCCATTTCCTGATAATTAGTACGTAAAGAACATTAGCTATAACAAATTTGATAAATCATTAAACATAAAGTTAAACTAAAAGTTTACCTTAAGATCAGTTTCAATATTTCCTTCTTAGCTTCCTCCTTATGACTGAATAAAGGCAGCAGACTTTCACTCTCCAACTCACTTTCAGACTTTTTAGATCTTGCATTTTCACAAATCATGCTAGAACTAGAAGTTTGATGAACAGCAGGTTGACTATTACCACTATCAAAAACTTGCAATGCTGCTTCATTAAAGAAGGGCTCATTAGCATGGTGTGGTATCTGTTGACCATCATCTTTAAGGGCGTATTCACCAACAATCTCAACTGGAGGCATAAATGTTGTCATCATGACAGGCATTTCCTCCATTTTCACTCCAATTTCTCTGTTTTGACTAAATGGCGGTCGCTCTTCAAGCAAACTTGAAGGTTCAGTTACAACCATAGAAGTATGACTAATATTGTCATCGAACATAATTTCATCATAGGCAGTCGGGTGACTTCCGGTAATGACAGAGTTTCCGTGGTCAAATATATCTACCGTAGTATTTGAGCATTCCTTTTCTACAGAAAGATCTTCAAGGACTAAAGCAGTTCTGACATCATCAACTATTTTTTCTGATTTCTTATGATGAACAAGTTGCGCACATCTTGTGGGAAAATCCACATCACTGCTGAGAAAGGGGCCTTCTTTCACCATGTATGCCTCTTCATATTTTTTTACTGAGAATCCATGATACTCCAGAAGGCCCTCAACATCCTCCCCCTAGGAAGAGAAAGGAAAAAAGTCAAAGAAGGAAAACAATGTTAAGATAGAAGCCATAAAAAGCAAGAAAGCAGTGATAATACCTCCATAGCCAGCCATTTCTCAACATGTGCAATGGGAATTCCTTGGTTATTCTGAAGACCGCTATGTAGAGAAGCAAGGGCCTGCTTTCTCAGCTGAATAAAATATAACAGATTTAGCAATTACAGTTGATAACAACAGAAATAAATTTCAGAAATTCAACTCATTATACCAGCAGTTTTTGTTAAGTGAGGTCAAGGAGATGGATGGTTAAGTGAGGAACAAGCTCGGGCATTAGTTTTATCACCATCACAACCGTTTGATATCCATGCTAAGCATAAAAGGTAAGATCGGAAGCATATAAGGAGGGTAACCCAGCTGTACTGAGCAAGATCTCATATATACCGGTTGCTACCAAATAGAAAAGTCACATTGCCTAGTAATTTAGATTTACCAAGCAAATCAGACACTTGATAGGCTGTGGAGTAAGGACCTAGCAAGAATGTCCAGGGCACTCGTTATGAAATTGATTTAAGTCATAGCGTCAGTTACCCTGTATTGCTTTCTTCATAACAAAAGATTACATAAATATTTATAAATAGGGTTGATAAGCAAGAAGATGGCGGAGAAAATCTAGCACCAAGAATCTAAAGAGAAGAATTTCTAGTGACTAGACCTTGCATCAAATATTCCTCTTTCTTATCTTGGTCAAAACCCCATTCACCCATTACTTTCTTCCACACTTCCCTATCCAAGCTCTTTAAGTATTCCAAGTGTTAATGATGTAGGACAATTAAGAGTTTCCTAAGTGCTACTAGAGGAATGAGGCTAAGCTGTCCTACCAATGACTAAGATCGAGACTTTCACTAAGAATTCAATTAAATCTAAAATTAATTATGAAAAAAGTGATCTTCGATAATTTACTTGAGAGTTAAAGAGAAGTAGAGAACTCAAGCAAAAAATAGTTTTTATGTCCATTCAACTTTAAGCACTACAATTTCAAAATCCAGAGAATATAGCAAAAGAAAATTGACTAGCACATGATAAAACCTCAATGTAGTTGATTTTAACAAAAACTACAGCAAATCACAACGACACTAGTGAAAAAGAAAATTTTAATTAAGAGATTTTAAAAAGAAGAAATATGATATAAATAATGAAATAAAAATACTGAGATAACCATAAGATTGCTACCACAAGTTGATAATCATTGTGATAGCAACCTTCCCAATTCTTTTAAGACCCCTAAGGGATTGCACTCCTGTACTAAAAAAGTCCTCTCTTGCAAAGAGATCACAAGAGGAAGTGGAACAATCTCAAATTTTATATTCATAAGCAGTGAATTTCGTAATAAATGGCCCACTATTTATGGGGAAAGAAATATCAAAAGATACAAAATAAATAAAAGAGGGAAGGGGGGTGATCCAGCCACTAAAAGAGGGGGGGGGGGGGGGGGGGAATGCAAATTAAAGAGATTTAGCAATTACAGTTGATAACAACAGAAATAAATTTCAGAAATTCAACTCATTATACCAGCAGTTTTTGTTAAGTGAGGTCAAGGAGATTGATGGTTAAGTGAGGAACAAGCTCGGGCATTAGTTTTATCACCATCACAACCGTTTGATATCCATGCTAAGCAGAAAAGGTAAGATCAGAGGCATATAAGGAGGGTAACCCAGCTGTACTGAGCAAGATCTCATATATACCGGTTGCTACCAAATAGAAAAGTCACATTGCCTAGTAATTTAGATTTACCAAGCAAATCAGACACTTCATAGGCTGTGGAGATAAGGACCTAGCAAGAATGTCCAGGGCACTCGTTATGAAATTGATTTAAGTCATAGCGTCAGTTACTCTGTATTGCTTTCTTCATAACAAAAGATTACATAAATATTTATAAATAGGGTTGATAAGCAAGAAGATGGCGGAGAAAATCTAGCACCAAGAATCTAAAGAGAAGAATTCAAAACCCCATTCACTCATTACTATCTTCCACACTTCCCTATCCAAGCTCTTTAAGTATTCCAAGTGTTAATGATGTTAATTAAGAGTTTCCTAAGTGTTACTAGAGGAATGAGGCTAAGTTGTCCTACCAATGACTAAGATCGAGACTTTCACTAAGAATTCAATTAAATCTAAGATTAATTATGAAAAAAGTGATCTTCGATAATTTACTTGAGAGTTAAAGAGAACTCAAGAAAAAAATAGTTTTTATGTCCATTCAACTTTAAGCACTACAATTTCAAAAACCAGAGAATATAGCAAAAGAAAATTTACTAGCACGTGATAAAACCTCAATGTAGTCGATTTTAACAAAAACTACAGCAAATCACAACGACACTAGTGAAAAAGAAAATTTTAATTAAGAGATCTTAAAAAGAAGAAATATGATATAAATAATGAAATAAAAATACTGATAACCATAAGATTGCTACCACAAGTTGATAATCATTGTGATAGCAACCTTCCCAATTCTTTTAAGTCCCCTAAGGGATTGCACTCCTGTACTAAAAAAGTCCTCTCTTGCAAAGAGCACACAAGAGGAAGTGGAACAATCTCAAACTTTATATTCATAAGCAGTGAATTTCGTAATAAATGGCCCACTATTTATGGGGAAAGAAATATTAAAAGATACAAAATAAATAAAAGAGGAAAGGGGGGTGATCCAGCCACTAAAAGAGGGGGGTGGAATGCCAAGAGTAGTGAAGAAATGGGAGCAGACTTAATGGTGGAGAAAAAGGAGTAATAAATGACAGAAAATAAAGAGTCTAAATAAATTTTGAGTATGAGGAAGAGAAATGGTAGGCCATGGCATGGAGGATGGATAATTTATGACTTATGAGAAAAGAAATTTCCCAGCACATAAAAACACAAGACCCAACTTGACCTATGGATCTAAAATGACTAAAAAATCAAAGGACTCAAAATAATACAAATAGAAAACCATACACAAAAAATGCTAAATACATGAAAATCTCATAGGAACAACTAATGACCAGTAGAAATAATGATGATGCTGACTATGGATCTAAATAAGATGCTATATATTAGTAATCACAAGCTTTGAAGAATTTTAATAATAAGAATAAAGATCAAGGTACTCTAAAAGTGATATTAGGCAGAGAACTACAATAGCTCTACATGTATCAACTATAAATCCTCTAGTGGTGAAAATCTTCTCCAACAAACTAGGCATCATCGAATGCTATCATTAGCTGTGGAAATGAAATGCTCATCCAATACAATGTACATAGACAAGTGAATGTCAACAGATGAATTGATAGCAATGTTGGCATCAAGTGTTGATAGACATTAGGCAGATCTACTACAACTTTGCATGTATTAACCATGAATCCTCAAGTGGTGAAAATCTTCTCCAACAACCCAAGCATCATTGGACAATACCATTAGATGTGGAAATGAAATGCTCATTCAATGTCTATAAATAGACATGTGAATGTCAGCGGTTGAGTTTGATAGAAATTTCAGTATCAAAATAGAAATTGGGATTAATATTTCAAGAGATGCGTGGTCTAGATGAATCACAAGAAAGGGCATGTGGCAAAGTGCCAAATGTCAACCCCCCAGCTGGGAAAGGATACTTTTAATTTAAAGATGCATAAATCCAATTGAAATTTTGACAGGAGGGACTAAGATCACTTTGTCAAACCCAATCACCTTTACACTCATGGCGTGTAATAGTAATGACATCCTAATCAGAGCATCAACAACTTGATTCTTATGCCAGCCTTGTGTTTGAAAACAACGGTGTACTCTTGAAGAAATTGCACCAACTTGGTATGTAATAGTGATGACATCCTACCAAAAGCATCAATAGCTTTGTCCTTCATGTCAGCCCTATGTTTGAGAATGAAAATGTACTCCCGAAGAACTTGCAACCACTTGGTATGACTTGAGCTTAGTTTCTTTTAGGAGTAAAGGTACATAATAGCTTCATGATTGAATATACAAGAGCTCTAGGGATTGAAGATAATGCAATGCTTATACCCTAGCATGTAATTCTCAATCATGTGGAATATCTTTGATTAGCTAAATTTAGCTTCTCGCAAAAAATAGGTTACAATTTGATGTGAAACTAAATGCGATAGACAAGAATTGCAATTAAGATATTAATAAAGTGGTGAACTTTGCTTTGCTACTAATAAACTCTTTGTTTGCTCAAGTGAAGGTTTAAGAATATGACATTGAAAGATTAAGCAATAGCAATTGGTTACAATTTGAGATTAGTAAGACTTGTAGAATAACAACCAATGATTAGTAGGTAATGAAAATAGCAAATGTAACAAAAGCCTCAAGTTTAAAATCTAGATCATTCACCTAGAAGTCCTTCACTCAATCTCTTGAAAGTGGAGGTTAGCGGAGGAGAAATTCAAGCACACTTAAGGATGCCACTATCAAACAAGTGACGCCGAGGGGACTAGTCGTCGGGGAAGAAGCCGGAGTTGGAGAAGTGAGTGGTCGTCCGATAAGAGTCCACGGAGTTCTTGGTCGTTGAAACTCGATAGTCTCAGCGAGACAATAAACGATGCGATTGATGTAACGTTCCACGGTGCCATTGTACTTCCAATCCGGCTCGTAGAAGGGAGAGAGGAAGATGTTGATCTCTCCTTGTGCATTGTAAGCAAAGCCATGATCAACTTGCGGATCGGCCATGCATGACCATGGGAGATCCTTGTCGTGTGTAGAAACGTTGAGGTGGAGGGGGGGAAGCCGCCACTTGAGAGGAAGCAGCCAAGGAGAAGAGGGAGAGGTGAGGGCTCGGGTGGGAGAAGCTAAAAAGGGGGGCAGCTTGAGCTAACGAGGATTTGGTGGAAGATTTAGAAATATGAAATTAATGTTCAGATTTAAGTGGATTTGGCGGGATAAATTTGAATTTAAATTCAAATTTTAATGAAGAGAATTAAATTGGATGAGACGGAATTGTGGGAGGTAATTAGGGAGGTTTAATGAGGGGCTATTGATGAAATTGGAGAGAGAAATTATGAGGGAGAGGGGCCCGGCCATGTAGAGAGGAGAGAGAGGGGTTTTGTGATTAATATGTGGGCCCCAAGGAAGTTAATGTAATTTTAATCAAATCTGAATTTAATTTCAGATTTGAATCATATAATAAGAAACTTCCTGATGGGACTTAAGC